GGTTTGGAGAGTACAGTACGCACAACTGTCTGCAGTTGAAGTCATTCAGTCATTTTCGCATCCTAGCGCTTTTTAAGGAGTATCCATCATTTTTCATTCGCTACCATCTGAGGTAGGTGTATTGGCTGTCGACATTGGATTTTGGAGACTGTGTCGTGGATATTTCGTAACACAGACATTTCGAAATACGAGTCTTGTTTATATATGTCCGCGGCACAGTTCCGAAAATTTCGGGTTACTGCCCATACAGCTGGATTATTTGACCAGCTGTATATACATACATACATACATATGTATGTAATATATATATATATGTATATATATGACATATATATGTGTATATATATATATACAGTATATATATATTTCATCTTATATAATACTGCTCCAATGAAACTTTGCCAATATAAAAAAAGCATCATAAAACAATTATTCAATAAATTGTTTTCATGGTCGGATCTTGGGAAAGCAAGGGCTTGATAGCGTAGCTGTAATTAATCGGCCTGCGTGTGGCATGAAAAATATAAAAGAATAAATAAATAAAATAATAATAATAATAATAATAATAATAATACATAATAGAATAATAATAACTAAAAATGTTTTAATAATAATGACGGAAAATAATAATAATAATAATAATAATAATAATAATAATAATAATAATAATAATAATAATACTAATAATAATAATAATAACTGAAATTTTTTTAATAATAATGGCGGGAAATAGTAATAATAATAATAATAAGAATAAGAATAATAATAATAATAATAATATTAAAAGTGATATATAATAATTTAAAAGTGAATGATAAAGTCGTCCCCTGGACCCTGGATGACGTACATTGGCAAACCAACACAAACTTTCTCTGTTCCCTAGGAAGTGTACCTAGTCGTTCGCTATTTCTTTAGCACACGAAAGTAGTATAATTATTTAATGCCACAACATCCTACCAGTTACCCATTAATATTCCTAGGTAGAAAAGGGCAAACGTAGATAAAGTACCTTTTATTTCCCAATGACACAAGCGACTTCCAGCGCGAGAACCTCTGACTGACCTCAATGTTTGGATATAAATGTAACTAATTGGAGGGGAAATATATAAATTAATAAAATGATTAATATTATGAAATGTAGGATTAAACAAATTTAACAGATCCAAAAAGTATAGATCTATAAAATCAAAACAAATGATCTGACATAGCAAATGAATATGAAGATGCAAAGGCTAAATCATTATTTGCATGTGAATGTTATATTTAGCTTTTATTGATCGTTATTACATATGTTACGAAATAATTTCGTTAAATATAGCATTAATATAGTATGACAGTGGATGGTGGAAGCATGTTTTAAGGCCCTAACTGCATAGCCAGAGTCCTTGGACACACACAGCTCTGCGCATATATAAACCTAATCACATCTGGAATCAATCCAATGCTGCCAAAACAGATTCCTACCACATTCTAAGGTATACGCTATCCCATCAGACATTGCAACAGGAAACAAAACTAAGATATCTCTATTAACAGAGATATCTCTGTTAATAGAGATATCTTAGTTTTAAATAGAGATATCTTAGTTTTAAACAGAGATATCTTAGTTTTAAATAGAGATATCTCTATTAATAAAGATATCTTTATTGATAGAGATATCTATATTAAAAACTAAGATATCTTCATTAAAAACTAAGACATCTATATTTAAAATTAAGATATCTCTATTAAAAATTAAGATATCTCTATTAACAATGAAAATAGAGATATCTTAGTTTTAAATAGAGATATCTTAGTTATACATAGAGATATCTCAGTTTTAAATAGAGATATCTTAGTTTTAAATAGAGATATCTCTTTTAAAAATAGAGATATCTCAGTTTTAAATAGA